GAAGGGAAGGGAAGGGAAAGAAAAGAAAAGAAAAGAAAAGAAAAGAAAAGAAAAGAAAAGAAAAGAACAAAACAGAGAATGAATGTTTACTTTAAAAATGCAGAAGAATTTGCCAAAGGATCATTTTGATGTAATGAGTGCCTCTAGAAAATAAAGTTTATATTGTACAGAATGTGGTAATATACTGAGTTTTTTGGAAACTCAATTAAAAATAAAGTTTATATTGTACAGAATGTGGTAATATACTGAGTTTTTTGGAAACTCAATTACTATATTCTGTAAAGTATATCAGTATAATTATGCTTGGTCTTAACTATTAAATTTATAACAAATAAAATATATTTTTAAGCACCTTGTATGTTTTGGTAATATAACTTTAGTTTTAATTTTTAGATGACTATGACCAAAAGTATAAAGTATGACTAATCCTGTTTTGTTTTGTTTTTTAGTACTTCTTGCATGAGATTTTTAGATATTAGCCTCATCATCAATTCTGAGAAAGCATAAAAAATCTTAAAGTCTAATAACCCATACTAAAATGTTTAAAAAAAAGTAGTTGTATCTTTCAAATAATTTTAATGATATTTTAATGAGTATAAATTATGCAGAGAACAAACATGTATTGCAATTAGCATTTCATAAATAATAAGAGGAAAAATTCATGTTACATGATGATAATGGGCTTATATTCATAAAGTGAAATCTTTGAAATTAATATAGTCCCTCAATTTTTCTGTAAAAAAATAATAAAACAAAATATATAAAGGTTTTTATATCTTGTACCATTGTAACTTGTCTTTCCATTTTTAAAAATTACTTATTTTAATAACTTAAAATGCATGAAAATTTTTATTATGGTTTACTCACTGTGGTCATTAATTTCTAGCACAATTGCTAAAATAACTGAGAATATCTTATATTTGAAGTGAAATTTACTTAAATTTAAGGTGACATGTAGATATTTTATTCAATATCTTCTGTAATCAAAGTACCAAATTTAGAGATGATTAAAATTGTTATATCTTACACTCCACAAATTTTGATGTTATTCTATGATACATATTAATTTACTTATATATTATGAGTTTATAAGTAGTGTTTAAAGCAATCCTACAGAAAATATTTAATCTACATAAACAATTATAAATGATATACTAATTTTTTTTCACATACTCAATACATTTAGAAAAGAAATCCACAAAAATACAACTAAACTGTAGAGAATTAAATATTAGTATATATTAACAATGCTTAGTTTCATAATAAACAAAACCAGAATTAATATTTTGTTAAAGTTTACTACTTCAACTAAAAACCTTTTCCCAAAAACCTTTTCAATCAATCAGTTTTGCTAAGGAATAATTACTTATATATTAATCTAAGCTAATCATTATACCTTTTACTTATTTATCATTTCAAAAAGTTTACAGTGTTTCACATACATAATAAAAAATTCAGCCTATTAAATCATATTATACATAATGACAATTTAAACCCTAAAACACATAAGCTAGAGCTAAACTATTCTACAAAACATGGTAGATTAAAAAAGATATTTTAAATACCAGATGTTTCTGATTTTACACTTGATTCTATGTACTACAATTTTATTTCATGAAATTTTCAAGAACTTAGCATTTGCTTCAAATAAATATAATCAGATGTTTCTTTAGAAGCAGAGTCTCAAAAATATAGACTTAAAATTCTATAATAATAAACAACATAATGGAAATCTAATATTAAAAGGACTAGGAAGGTAGATTTTTATAGTTTCTAAATAGATTTAGGAGTATTGTACCATTGGTTCTATTGAAAAACATTGAAATATTAAGAGATACCCATGGCTATCCAAGACGGCAGGTCCTAAAATAAATAAGAACTATTTTACGCTATATCCATACGTGGCATATTAACCTTTCATTGTATCATGACTGAAAAAATTCTTACTTCTTGTGTTAACTGAAATTATCATGGACATTTGTTTAATTTCATAGAAAAGATGAACCATTACCTTAGTGAAAGACGTAAGTAACATCATAAGTAATGAATTTATATATATTAGTTACTTTTGAAGAAGACTCTGAGTTTATATTTTACATATGTGTTTTAAGAATAATTAAATGATATTAGGGGGTACAAATATTTGGGCCTTAAAATCAAACATATTTCATATTCAAATGACATTTTATTTAGTAGATGAACTTTCTGGGTGAAACCATCTTTTTGGATTGAACTTTCTGCTATATCATCTTTGTTCACTGAGACAACAAGGATAGCTGAGTACAGCATTATGTTAGGGGACAGACTCGTGGACTTGGAGCATCTAGAGATAAGCATTAGTATACCACCAGCCATCTATGCTGAGACAGGTAGACCTACAGGAAGAAAGTCCAAGTCCTTTGTCTATCTCTTATGATTAAATTTGCTAAAATGTTTAAATGAAAAAAAATTTTTAATGAGGACCAGTTATTCGTTGCTCACATTAGGTAGTCTCCAAAACCCTCTCTGGTCTTCAGCTTGGGAGACCAGACACTTGACATAACAGAGCAGCTGACATCGAGGGGGCACCAGCTCTGAGTGGACATCAGAATCTCCTTAAAGAATCCCTTGAGATATCACTGAGGTTCTGTGATTTCCTCAGTCCTCCTGAGGCTGTCAGTAACCCTAACGTGAGTTTGAGCCTGCATTTCTTCAAAAGATTCTTGTGGCAAGCTATAGTTGCCTTCATGTGGACATTTAGCTGACTATGAGCTGTCATTTACAGGAAAGGATAGAGAGAGGAAGATATTGGTACAATCCAATGTCAATTCATTGTTATTGGCCAAAGCAGAGGAACCATTGATAAGCGCTGTCCTGGGGCACAAACACAAAGAGTCCATTCCTAATGATCGCACTCTGCCTGCTAACAATGCATCTCAGGACTCACCAGAACAATCAGTTTCTCTAGGAAATATTCCCTGATCACGTCCCCTACTGCTGCATCAGGGGTTCTTCCTATATACAACTGTAAACTTAACCAAATTAGACCTGCAGCAACACTACTGGAGTGATGTAGTTACATTTTATCTTGAACACTAGAAGGTAAGGTTCTAGCAAACAGAGACCGTGATTATTTTATTTTTATGTCTCCAGGACCCACTGCTTAGCACGTTGTAAGTGCTCAGTAAATACTTGTTGAGTGGAAATTAATTGAAAAAGGTATGTGTAGAGAGCACGGGGAAGGTACATGGGCATTTCTTTAATTATTGTATTATCAGCCGAATCCAATGGCCATTGATAAAACCACCATCTGGAAACACGCTTTGCCAAATGGCAGCAGTGTTGTCAGCTTGACCTTCAGCCCAGGTGCCAGGGGATAGGTTTTGTTCTTTAAATCCAGCCAAGCATCAGGAATAAATATGACCCAGGCTCACCCAAGAATACACATAACCTCCTTTGTCTTGACTTTTAGTAAAACTTCCTGTTGTTGTTGTTGTTTTTTTTTTTTCTGTATAAAATAAACACACTGTATTGGCTTGGGGTCACTCTTCTTTTCCCTGTCCATGTCAGAGGACAGTGGTCCCACCAGGCCCTAGCTTTTTCCTTGCACCTCTGTGTCTGTCACTTTCATTTTCTTAATCCCCAGCAGCCCCAACTCAGGAACTGAATTGCTCTCTAGCCGTGCTGGACGCAGAAAAGAGAGAAATATTTACAGGTATGACCACCATGCCTCGCACATCTGCCACAGTAATGATTTGGAGGTGGGGAAGAGAAGATTCCTTAAGAAGCATGGAGGGGCTTAATTGTTCTTTTTTAAAAGAGAGAGAAAGGAGAGAGAAGAGAGAAGAGAGAAGGGAGAAGAGAGAAGAGAGAAGAGAGAAGAGAGAAGAGAGAAGAGAGAAGAGAGAAGAGAGAAGAGAGAAGAGAGAGACCACAATAGCTTGAGGTGAAAATACCATGATATAGTCTCCTCAATGCTAGAATAAATGCAGGTATCATAACATCAGAAAACATCAGTGAATCTGCAATCATTGACTAAATAATACATATGTAGGCTAATGAAAAGAAACCTACATCATTTATCATAATGATAGTGTTTTACTGTTATAAGTACTTAAAACCAAAGAATCTGGTATAAGAAAAAGATTAAATATATGCATATTTCTGGAACTTTATATTTTATGTGTTAAACTTATTTAAAGTTTTCAAATGACTAGACTACTTATTCTCTTACTAGTATATTGTTACAAAATATTTTAAGTTGCTCTAATTATTTGGAATAGAATAATTGATATCACTGAAACAAAAATGTTGTTTTATATGTGGGTCACTTTCTCTGAAATAAAAGTTCATTCCTTCCTTTGAAAAAAATGGTTTTCCAAAGGGAAGTTCAAGATTTTAAAGTTACTACACAGTCCTATTTCTGAGGACACAAAAACATGCATTTACTTCATCAAGAGACATAAAAGGATTTCTTACATATACAACATTAATAAGGTTTTTATGAAAGTAATGGGCCTGTGAAAAAAATTAAAAACTAAAATGTCTACATTTCGACTTTTCTGTCATTTATGGAAGATATTAAGCATGTTTTTACTGTCTGCCTCTTTAAATTTAATCTATTTTTATGAAACATTCTTAAATAACAGGGGGACATGGGACGAGGATTAAAATATGTACTTTGGATACATTTTATAGACAAAAATGTGATCAAGGCAATTATAAGCAGAAAATAAAGCAAACAGAACTGAGTATCACAATTGCACACAGAAGAAAGCTTAATTAAAGAGTCAGAAGGCTGGATATATTAAAACACAAAATACAGTCTACTAGTTTGCATGCTTAGATGATTTCAACTTAGCTCTTAGATGCAACTTCATAAAAGTCTAATGTAAATAAAATGTGGGTTAAGCTCTTTCCCCTAAGACAAAATTATTCAAGACTCTTAAAGTCTCTTAGTCACCATACATTTACAACGCCAAAGAAGAAGGAAAAGAGAAATGATTAATTTTTAAAATTACCCAGCAATTCCATTGCATCGTCTTCATTATCAATATCTTCTTCTGTTACCGGTGGGGTAGGGCTGTGAACAGACTCAAAAGAATCCTGGGAGAGCATTGCCGCCAGCAGTTTCTTGTGTTGCTGCTGCTGTTGCTTTAGTCCCTTAGTCTTGGGTTCCACCTTTAAGCTGAAGAAACATGTAAGCGTTAACTTTCAATGACATGATGCACTAGCTGTGGTGAGTGGAGAAAATCGACAATCACATTTCATTCCATGATTTTGCCATGCAAATGTATGGACATTTCATTAAAATGTTCCCCAAGGATAAGAAAAACACAGAGCCTGTCTTCTTTCTTAGACATCCTTTGGTACCTCATTTCTCACGTTTTCATTTTCATAAGAATCAAGCCCACATTTTTTTTTTTTTTTTTTTTTTTTTGGCAGATTGTGCCTTTGGTGTTATTTCTGAAAATTCACTGCCACACCTGAGATCATATAGGTTATCTCCTATTATCTTACAGAAGTTTTATAGTTTTACATTTACGTCTATGATCCATTTAGAATTAAATTTTGTGAGGCCTCTGTCTAGATTTGTTTCTTTTTCTCTTTTTCTTTTTCTTTTTTTTCATGTGGATGTGCAATTATTCCACAACCATTTGTAGAAAAGGCTATCTTTGCTCCATTGGTATTTTGTTAAAGATTAGTTTACTATATTTCTGGGCTATCAGGCCTCTCTTTTCTGTCCTATTCTCTAATCTTTTGCCAATATACACTTTCTTGATTATTGTAGATTTATAGTAAGTTTTAGAGTAAGATAATACCAGTTCTCCGATTTTGTTCTTCTCTTTCAATAATTTGTTCACCAACTGGGTCTTTTGCCGCTCTATACAAACTTTGGAATCAGTTAGTTGATATTCACAAAATAACCTGTTGAAATTTTCATTGCGTCTATACATAAGTTTTAGTGTATTTTCTCTCTGGTGTTCATTTTGAATAAATTCTATAGATCTGTCCTCACATTAAAAAATTCTATACTCTGTCATTTCCAATCTGGGTCCATTTAACAAATTTTTATATTTTGTTTCAGTTACATACATTTCACTTGTTCTTTATCAGTATTTATAGTTGTTGATATTTTTTATGTACTCATTTTTTTCAAGGGAACTTGTAATCCCTTGTTGAAGTACTTTTATGATTTTTTAGAAAGCAGGATTAATTAGATTTCACGGGAAGAATTCAAAATAAAGTTCAAAGTTGTAAACTAGGATAGCTGAGGGTTTCAGTGACCCTGACATGATCAGAGCTAATTGTTGGAGTTGCATGTTCACTGAATAAAGTCAATCATATGTTGTAATCTAATGTCTGATGTGAGAATGATGTCACTTTATCTTCTGACTCTATTTTAGGAAACGCGTGCAATTAAATTCTTTGCCTGGCAATTCCATCATCTGATTCATCTTAATATTGGCATTAGTTGACTATCTTTTCTCATGTAAGGTGTGATTTTCCTGGTTCTTGGTATAACGTGATTTTCACAATTTGACTATTATTTTAAGAGTGTCTGGGGCCTATTCATATCTTTTATTTTGAAGGCAGCCACCTGGCTTACTTTTGTTAAATTGTGGTTCCAATGACAGTTTCGGAGCTCCCGAAGTGCTGCTTGGCCTGTTGCTGTAGCTCCCAACATACTTGCTGGTGTTGCCTGAGGGAGCAAAAGGAGCATCTCCAGGTTGTGCATCTGGTGACATTAGGTAAATAAAGAGAATGTCTGGCTGGGGGACATAAAGGATTCCTGTGTCAAGCTTTGCTGTGGAGGGATCCCTCTTACTTGTGTCTTTTTGTCAAGTAAAAGGCACTTAGCTGCCCACTGTCTTCAGTGGGGAAGAGGAGTCTCAAGTCTGGCAGGAAAGGACAGTATGGCCTCTGACCCTTTCTTGTGAGGGGACTCTCAGTCAATTCCCTGGCCAGTGCAACCAGGCTCTGCCAGTGAGGCTGGCAGGACTCCTGTTTGATTAGGAGGAGAAATGAACTTATCGGGACCACCACAGCCCCTTGCTAGTTTGGGGTTGAGAAATACCAGGCCTCGTTTGCCTTATGCTGTTGGTGGGGGATCATATGTTGCTAGCCACTGTTGTTCCTCCAGTAGTCATATCCCTAGTCATTCCATCTTCCTCTTTACATTTCTCACAGCATAACATTACTTTGGCTGCCTCTTGCATTGTTTCCAAGATTTACAGTTGTACTTAAGAGGGAGGAGCTGAGAGTCTGTGCCATCTTTTCCAAAGCAGAGGTGGTAGATGACTTGTTAATTACAAAGAGCAAATGATATCTTCACAATGAAGAAACCTAGTGGGTATGGCCTTCACCTTGCAAGTAAACAAACTCAGTTTCAACAATAATGGGGCAAACTGACATTATGAATCTCTATATATTGGAAAAAGAAGAAGTACTCAGTACTACTACCTAGGTAGAATTATTGCCAAAAATATTTGAGTTTAATGATCAGGAAACAATGAGATGTGTCCAGATTTGGAAACAATTCCCTGTTATCTACAAGGATATCAATGTTATAAAATAAAACAAAGGTTGGAGACCGATCTAGATTATAGAGACTAAAGAGACTTGAAAACAACTCCACACATGATCCTTTATTAGATGGTGGATAAAAAAGAAACAAACAAACAAATACCAAAACACAACAATCTATAAAAGACTTTACTGGAAATATGAGAGAAAGTTGAATATAGACTCCATTTTAGATAATTTATGGTACCATTGTTAAAAGTTTTGATATGTTAATGATATTTTAGTTGTTTTTGAAGATATCCTTATTCTCAGGAAATTAATGTTAAAGAATTAAGGAATTAACACATTATAATATCTATAACTTATTTTCAGGTGGTTCAGTATAAAAAAATATATAGGCCGAAACCAGTTTGGCTCAGTGGATAGAGTGTCAGCCTGTGGACTGAAAGGTCCCAGGTTTGATTCTGGTCAAGGGCATGTACCTTGGTTGCTGGCACATCCCCAGTAGGGGGGTGTGCAAGAGGCAGCTGATCAATGATTCTCTCTCATTGATGTTTCTAACTCTCTATCTCTCTCTCTTCCTTTCTGTAAAAAATCAATAAAGTATATATTTAAAAATAAAAAAATTTAAAAAATAAATAGAACAAATAATAATTTTGGGTAACACAACGGCAAAATGTTAACTGGTGAATATATGTGGAGGGTGTGTAAATATTGATGTTACTATTCTTAAATTTTTTGCAGTTTGATACTTTTTAAAGTGAAAAGTTGAGGCTAAAAATAAGAGAAATTATAATGAAGGCATACTCTTGTCAACAATAGTTATTTCAACTTTAACTTCCATCCTAACTTAAATTCCTCACTTAAACAGGAACTATTGTTGTGATAAAAAAAAAATACCTTTTAAAATATGATTCTATTTTAGTAACTATCAGCATAATTCAAATTCAATTAATGAGACTCATTTTTATATTTTAATAGTAGATATTAAACAAAAAATATTCATTTGAAAATTGATGGAGGTTTATTTACCCCAACTTCTTGTCATGGCACCAGTCTCTGAATAATTTCGTTGTGTGTCTTTTAAACTGAGAAATAATGTAAAAATTTAAAATTTTTCCTTGACCAACTGTATTCATTGAGAAGGCCTTTTGAATGAGAAAGGCCTGCGGATTGTAAAAGTGAAAACTGCACCATGAGAGAGAAATTGGAAGGAAAGCAGGATCTTAATGCAAACAGGCGGTGGAGAGACGGAGAGAGATGGGTTTGGGGTATTTCTAAGAGCACTTAGGGTTCTGGGCCCCTTCTTACCCAAACATTGAACCTAAATTTTAATAATATTGTGATTCTGAGAACTTTCCCCTGAAGAAAAGCTGCATAGCAAAGTATTAAGGACACAGGATTTGAAAGCAAGACAGCCTAGCTCTGCTATTCATAGCTATCCACTCTGGGACTTAGTTTCCTTATTCCTAAAATGGGAATAATGATAATGTCTTCATGAGGAAGCGCACAGAACAGGCTCTAAAGTGATAATCAACATCATTATACGTTCAAAGAACACAATGGGCAGCTTTCTAAATATTTGCATGTTTCTTCTTGAGCATTAATATCTCGCTTAGAAAGTACAGCACAGGGAATATAGTCAATAATATTGGAATAACTCTGTGGGTACTGCAAATATCAGGGGAATCACTTTATCTAACCACTATGTTGTATACCCGAAATTAATACAAAATAGTATTGAATGTAAACTTTAATTGAAAAATAAAATTTAATTTAGAAAAAAAAAACAACGGGAAAAGGAACCACAAGAGGCCTTAGGCCATATGAAAAAGAATAGCAGTTAATATTTCAGTGTGGTGTTAATATACTCTAGGAATCTATTTTGCTTTGCTTTAAGAGAGTAACTTCTACACCAACGTCAGATGGAAAGGGACAATTTAAAGTGGCTTTGAGGTCCTTTCCCCAGTGTGCCTATCTCTCCAGGTGGAGACTTCCTCTTCCATCTGGTCAGTCTTCTTCCTGGTCCCACTCTTTCCTAAGCCATCTTAATTAGACTTTTATTATATAGGACATACTTCTAAGTCGTAAAATTTTTACCCATTTTATGGCCTATTTACCATTCAATAATAATGCTCACTTAGCAAATAAAGCCAATTCACCAGTTCTATATTATTTATTGATATTATTCTTGTTTTAATAAGGTGGCTCCACTTAGAGGAGCTTCGTTAGGTTTTCAAGCCTTGATGAGCCTATTACCCAGCTTTCACAAAGTCTCATTAAGATGGCTTAAGATAGAATTATATAGTTTTATTAAACTCAATTTTTGTTTATATGATTGTGGGATTATTTTTAGTAGCTCTAAGAGTGCAATGAACATATATATTTTCCCCCTAAATGCTAGACAAGCCATAACAACTAATGCCAATTGATTGCATCTGACAATTGTGGAAAACTTTAATCATTCCCCAACATCTTCCCTTTTCTCTTTTGTGATCCCTCTTTCTGTTATAGCTCAGATGCTTTAATTTATTTCTTTAATTGTTTTAATTAAGAAACACTTTGACATCTATGAAAGATGTGGCATAAAAATGCAGGAAAATGTCCATGTGCACATACACACAATGTTTTGCATGTAATTTCAAGAGATTCAAAGATCTCTTGAGTCCATCCAGTAACCAGATGGGGTTCATGGATTCTGTGTTAGTAGCTTCTGTCTTATTCTAATAGTTTCTCCATATCTTCTTCCTAACTGCCTTTGTTTGAACCAGCATCTAACCTTTCAAGAAACAGTAATGCTTATTAAATTTGTTGACTCTTTTCACACAATGTTGTATTGCAGAACCTAAGGGACAAGTTCATATAAGGTATACCATTAAACACACACACACACACACACACACACACACACACACACACACAAATAAAAACCTTCCAGGAGGAAATTATGGGTAAGTCTCTACCCATAAGACTCTTAAGATTCACTATGCTTTTATTTAATCCTCTCTCACCTAATAATGAAAGTCCAGCCTATTGTGTATTATTCTGAATGAAAGGGATAGTTGGATATGTGCCAAAGATGGAGTGTAGTCATAACAGACATTCAAATAAGATTTGAGCATTAAACAAGAGGAGAGACCAAGGTAGGAAAAGGTAGAAAAAAATTAAGAGGACAATAAACATTTTTCCTTATAAATAAGCTTCATTTAGCACAAGTCTACTGGATGCCATCTATGTCCTTTCTTCACTCATTTGACTGATGTCTATTGACAACAACAGCATGTAGGCCCCATTAGCAGAAAGGAAAACAGAAGGAATCATCTTTGAAAATTAAGTCTTTTCTTTCCGGATCTAGAATATCATGTAGTCTGTGAATGTTCATGATAGCTAAGTTATAGTACAATTTCATAACTATTTAAAGACAAAAGCTAACACTAAAGCTGCAAACTGTAGAGTCATTTAAAAATTTCTCAGCCCCTTCTTATTCATCCAAATTAAATCTAATGCTATATGAGTGCCTGGTATAAATTCAGAAATCCTGTTATGCATTAGAAGATCAAAAAGATATAGTTTCCCATTCATAGTTTATTGTTATTTAAATCCAGTTCAGTATGCATGCATTATTTCAGCTCTATTGGGGCATCTGGGCAGGACTTGATCACTTTCTTCATTTCATAGGTAATACCTCAACTCATAATTCAAAGCTAGAGAAAAATAAAAGTGAAAACATTTTTGCACAAATATTTGAGAGAGATATTTATGGATTAAGTTTTTATGGATAAGGGATTGAACTAGAATTGCAGGAAAGATTCCCTTTAATGGTATTCAAGAGAAAATAAGAGCTCATGTAAGCTAGGAAAAAAATAGAAACACTAATATTTGCAGTAAAAAGCTCCAATCATTATTATGACTAAATGAAAGCAAAATGAAAATTGATATTCCTCTATTTTATATTTAAGAACTAAAGATCTAGCAATGAATAAAGATAAAGCCATATCAGGTTTTATAAGCCTGGTATTAAAAGTGAAATTACTCTCATTGACAGGTGAAATTGATCTGGCATTTTACAAAAGAAGGTAAATGGATTTTTAGAAATGGTTTTATTCTCCTTATATAGAAAACTCAAAACTACTTAAATATTTTAAAAGTCATTTCTCATGGAAATGGAATCATTTTTTTCTATATGCCTAAAGCACATTAATGAGTATTCTGAATTTCCTTCCCTCCAGCCAAGTGATAAGTCAAAGTGAAAAAAGCCTGAAAGCTATTATATTGTAGAAAATATAATTTTATCTTTGAGAAAGAATAGTTATTGCTTGCTGCTAAATTTAACATAGGATATACAAAGTTACTGTGGCTATGCTATGCATAGGAAAAACTTTTCTATGGTGCTAAGTTAGTAACACTCATGGACAGTTTTAGCTCCAGCAACAATTTCAGTTCACGGGTATTTATATCAATTTTCTCAACCTTGTGTTTTATACATTTCCCTTCTACCAGCATATAGAAAGGTAAGGCAAATCTCTCATCACCCATTTTGAGCATCATAGGTCTAAGTAAAATGAAATATGCACTTACAAACTTACAAATCATAAATGTATATGCAGTCATAGTTATCAACTCTAAACTTAAATGGTTTTAACCAAGGGTTTTTGTTTTTTTCCTCTTTATATTCCACATTAACACTGCCTTATATTGTCTATTATACATTTAATAGTTTTCTTAGCCTTGATTATATGTTTCTTGTACATCAGAAGTTCTCCCTTTTGGATTCCTTTTTTAAATTAAATATATTGGTTAATACCACTATATGAGTTTCAGGTATACAATTCCACAATACATCATCTGTATATGGCATTGTATGCTCACCTCCCAAAGTCTTATCTCCTTTGACATCATCTATTTGCCCGCCTTTTCCCTTTTCATCCTCTCCTGACCCCCTTTCTCCTCGGTAACCACCACACTGTTGTCTGTGTCTATTTCTGTTTTTTATCCCTTCATCTTAGAGATGCTTTTATGAACCTGACCACAAAGAAAGGAAAGAAAAAACAAAAATAAACAAATGGGACTAACTACATCAAACTAAAAAGCTTTTGCACAGCCAAAGAAGCCATCAGCAAAAGAAAAAGGCAACCAATTGAAAGGAAGGAGATACTTGCAAACTTACCTCCAATTAGATTCTCCAAAAAAAGAACTCATACAGCTCAACAACAAAACAAACGATCCAATTATAAGAGGGGAAGAGGATATGAATCAACACTTTTCCCAAGGAGACATACAAATATACAAAAAGATGCTCAACTTCACTAGTTATATGGAAAATGCAAGTCAAAACCACAATGAGATACCACTTAAACCTGTTATAATGGAAACTGTGATTAAATAAAGAAAGAAGTGTTGGAAAAGATATGGAGAAAAAAGAGCCCTCATACACTGTGAGTAGGGATGTAAATTGGTACAGCCACAAACAGTATGGAGGTTCATTCAACAATTAAGAACAGAGCTACCATATAATCCAGCAATCCCTCTTCTGGGTCTCTACCCCAAAATTTTGAAAACACTTATTCATAAGGATATATGTTCTTTCAACTCTTTAACAGTCAGCCATTCCCTGCTCAATATTATAAAACATCTCAACTACAGATTTTATCCTTGAAATTATTTCTCTACTGGGTATTAGAGACAAAGAGATGGTAATTTCTTTAGATGTAAAGGGGAAAAAATCAAAAACAAAATCTAAAAGCAATTCTAGTAGCACTCTAATTTTAAAACAGAGAAATTAATTTTTATCTTGTGTGGAGTCCAACATAATTTTCTATATAAAATTGCTAAGACTTATTTCAACAAAGTCATGCACATGGATTTATTTTCCCTTTTCACCTTGTAATAATTAATAATTTTCAGAATCGTAGACACCATCTCATCTTACCTTCCAGTGGGGCTAGAGCTGCTATCTTCACTTTCCCATGGTTCATTTTTACTTCTTGGAATTGGGGGCTGTAGCATTTCGGCTGCTAATGGATCAGCATCATTCTCTTCTCGACCAATCCATTCTCCAATCACACGGGGTCTTAGAAGAGTAGAAGTAAATGCCACTGTTTCCTGAAGAGGAAAAAAGAACAGGTGCTACCTTAGCTTATTTACTCTTTTCAACGAACAAGGAAATAATTTTATCTGGAGTTTCAACTGCTTCCTCAAATCAAAATGTCCCTTTTCCTTTCTGAATTAACTTAAAACTTCAGTTTTTTCCATCTCTACTAGATGACTTACTCTATGTGATTTGTGCTCATTCCAGAAGGTCACAGAGAACTTCAAGAAGGAATGCAATTCTATGATAGCCAGGAACACTCATGTAGAACTTCTAAACTATAAAACTATAAGATAATAAATTATCTTGCTTTACTTTCACAGAAGCATAGAAAACCAATATAGTGACTAAGCAGAAAGAAATTTCTAGAATTCACACAGGTTTTTTTTTTTTTTTAAGGCTTTAAAATAGTATCAGTCTTGTTTATTTTAACTTTCCATTTTAAATACAATTAATAACTCTTATCTTTTATAGAATTCATAAACTACTTTTAAAGATCATAGAATAAATAATTTCAATGAAATTATGACCTAATTAGAGTGACAGTAACAGACCAGTATTTTATAAAGGTTACGAAAAATATATCTTTAGTGAACCTCCAAAATATTAATGGAACATTAAAAGGAAGAACATGTATTTATTTTTATTATAGTAAAGACAAGATGTCATCTGAACACAAATTGCAAACCTTTCTGTTTGACTGATTTTTAAAAGTTCATCTTTATTTTTGAAAGAATTATAGATGCCCCCTTTTTCTGTTTGATTGCTTTTTTAGTACCTGCCTGAGATACACTTTTTCTTACTGAGCAAAATGCAAAACTGAGTTTTGTGGTCACCAGAGGGCACCATGGGGCAGGCTGTTCTCTCCTCCAAGATCAGTTCCAGGAAGGCAAAGAACATAGACTGTTTTTTTGCATTATCTGACACTCCTGAAAATCAGGTGTGAATGGGAACAATTCCTTATATGAACTGGTTCCTAAATGTATAACTCTGAATCAAAATTTTATGAGCAACTACTCATATAAACAATATTTAACAGACAACTCAAACAATACAAAAGCAAACTCTTTTGTTGTTGTTGTTGCTAATCCTCACCTGAGGATATATTTCCCGCATGAGGCCTAAGAGGGCCGGGAATCGAGCTGGCAACCCAGGTACATGCCCTTGACTGGAATCAAACCCAGGACTCTTCAGTCCATGGGCCGATGCTCTATCCACTGAGCAAACTGACAAGAGCTAGGAAAGAGAACTATTGATGGTATTCCAACCTGTCAAATTTGCTCTCTCCCCAGTTTTTCTAATTTTGATAAGTGGCACCACAGTTCATTTAATTTCTCATCCTCCAAACATAAGAATCATCACCTGATCTTTTCTACTACTCATCAGATCCAATCCATAGCAAGCTCCAGTGATACTACTGCTAAAATATATTCCTAATCATATCGCTTCTCACAACTATATTCTCCTGGCATCTTAAAATGATTTTTAAAATATACTTAGTAAGCCCTAACTGGTTTGGCTCAATGGAGAGAGTGTTGGCCTGCAGACTGAAAGGTCTCTGGTTTGATTCCAGTCAAGGGCACATGCCTGGGTTGCGGGATCAATCACCAGTAGGGGTTGTGTAGGAGGCAGCTAATCAATGATTCTCTCTCATCATTGATGTTTCTACCTCTCTCTCTTCCTTCATCTCCATAATTAATAAAAATATATATTTTTAAGTAATTAGTCAGGTTTACAAAGAGCAGCTATAGAAAAGAACAAGTTTCTTTCATATCTTCATCATCATCATCAATGCAAGAAGAATCCAACTTTTTTACATATTATTAGTTTTCATTTTTAATATAGTTGTTGATTACAGTGGCTCCATTTTCTCTAGCCAAATTTGAAAATCCTTAACTCAAAAGAATAGGAGACATTATATATTTCGTATAACTTTCATTTAAAAATCTAAGCATATAACTTTGAAAAAACATTTTTAAATATTAGAACCATACTTTATATTTGAACATTTAATAATGTTCAGTGGATTAAAACCTAAATTTCGTATGTTCTTTTCATTAGATGTATAGTTCAACTTACCTTATCGAGTTCATCTGAAATTGCAATACCTGGGATTCAAAAGAGATTTATAAAAAATGTTTTAGAAGTAATCTTTAATAACCTAATGTTAAAGTTCTACTTATAAAACTAGTGTATTTTCCATTATATTCTTTCTTTTTATTAGTGCTTCAAAATAGTGTGATACAACCTTTCTACTCATGAAAACAAATTAGGAATTCAAGTCAACTATGACAGCATGAACTGCTGAAACAATGCAAATGGTGCAACAAAAACAAGACAAGAACCACACTGGTTTTTAGATGCAGAGCTAATGTGCATATAATTGTGGGAATGTAGTCTTTATGTTATAATGATAATCAAATATAACTTAGCTCATTACAATTCTGTTCCTGCTTATAAACTGATTTAGACTCCTAAAGTGATAAAATATTAAGGCAGAATGGTGGTTGGAGATCATTATTTTAATTCCCCCCCCCCTTTTTTTTTTTTTACCGATGAGGACACAGACTAGAGAGTTCCAGGAATTTGTCCCAATCTCTTAGACTGACAGCTTCTTAAGACAATGGATAAATTATTCTTCCTCACAATTACCCTTCTTACCATTCACAAATGCCTCACTGTACATCTTATTTCTATCTTTACCATTTCTCCAAAATTGTTTTAAATCAGCAACATAAAGAGCTTAGTCCTTAATTTATTTGTCATCAATGTCCTGTCATTAAATGCTATTAACTCCCTCTCTTTTCTATTCTCCTGCTCTGTCTCCCTCACAGGAATCCTGTTCATTGGAGTCCTTTCCTGAAATGCCATGGGTTCTTTGCTGAGCTGTCTTTCTTTTCAGTTGATATACTTCCCTGGGTTATCTAACCTATACCACCTGTCACTATTATTTCACTATATGGTGATGACAAAGAAATCTTTATCTACAGCACAGACTTTCTTCCTGAGCTAGTTGTTGATTTCCTAAGTGCATTTCAGTCTCAAAGTGTCAGGCTAATGACACTACCTTCCTTGCATATCACTTCCCCCTTTTTGAGAATGGTGCTGTGCCTAGAGCTGAACCTAGGCCCTGGGGCCAGGCATTGGAGCTGGTGTGGCCATGTGTGGGGTACTTTACCCATTCCTAGAGCCTCTCCACTCCAATAACCTAATATATATCCATTATACACAAAGAAGAAAAATATTGCCCTACTATAACTCAGGAAGCGGCACCATTCTTCCCCTTGTAGATAAAACTAGAAAAAAAGGTGAATCTGAGACTCATTCATCATAGCAATAGTCCATTTAATTCTTTTTTTCTTTTTTTTGGTAAAAGTTATTGGTAACTAGGACTTGTATGTATTACTGCACCAAAAGAATGTCTAGCTACAGCTTTGGGAATTTGGGGTGACTTAAGTTTAACAAGTATTCAAGGATGTGCTGTATTAATTAGCTCCTTCAAACAATTCAAGAAAAGCTTCAGGAAGGAGCAGCATTCCTGCTGGCCGGTATCTGCATTGTGTGTGTGTGTGTGTGTGTGTGTGTGGTGGAGGACTCTGAGACATAATGAATTCGCAGTGGGGAGGATATGTAAGACCAATAAGCGATCCCAAAGCTTTCCAAACAATTATAAATATTTACAAATGCCTAACATAAGTAACCATTTGTGAATATTAGGTTTTAAAAATATACATAATATTTTAAGTGGTCACTTGGAATAACTCAGATTTTAAGATAATGTATAGAACACCAAATGGTATATGTCACAGTCTACAATATATTTAAAATAATTATTCCAGTTTACAAAAACTAATATTTTAAGTTCTTATATTTACATTCAATACAACAAAATGGTCCTTTCTAATATGAATTCAGTATTAAAACTGAATATATTGTACTATATATATATATATATATATATATATATATTTTATCAATCTTTATTGTTCATATTATTACAAAGGTTCCTCATTTCTTCCCCCCTCCACCAGGTTCCCACCCCACCCTCCGCCCCATCCCCCATTGTCCTCATCCATAGGTGCACAGTTTATGTTCAGTCTCTTCCTCCCTCCCTTTCCCCGATAGTAAATCCCTTTTCAGATAGTAAATCAGTTACTTAGCATTTTCTCATATCAATAATACCTCCACATGCCCACACAAAAGACATTTCCAAATAGGTCAATCAGCTTCATCCAGGCCCCACCCAAGGCACTCACAGATCAACACCCCAGTGCTATACTAACTCAACACATCCAGATCTAAGCCTTCATCACTTGATTCAGCAGACCCTCAAGTTATATTTTTGTCAAAAGACTTTTGAATAGCCAAAATCTACGTGTGGCATAGAACTTGCCCATCACTTATGACCTAGCTCCTTGGATCCTATCCACTGTCCATCACTCTCAACTTTAGTCACTATCAGATACAATTTTGCAGAGCCAAGAAATGTTACCAATGAAAAATGGAGATGAAGGGAATGGTTGCTATGAAGGTATGTTAACATCCTAAGAAGTAGTTGGTCCCACAATAATATTCAAACTAGATAAACTGAAAACTTGCCTTGGGGAAAAAAATTATGCTTCTAATCATTCCAAGTATTTGGTCGAACATATTTTATAGAGTTACCTATTATTATATTTTTTAACATTTATATATTTTTATTATTTTGCCTAACAAATTATCTAAATAAGTCTCTATTCTATTGCATACAGTTCTTTCTGCTCCTGCTTGACAATGTCAGTTACCGAGGTTATTTTTCATTGTTTTGTAGTTTCACTTTTAGTCAAAGCTTAAACTAACTAAAAACAGTTGAAAGAATTTTAAAGAAATGCTTCTTTAAAGCATAAAGCTCCAATGGGAACCATTTAGAATGGGTAGCCAGGATATGTCTCCTGGTGCCTAGCACAACATTCACAGCTATTTATTCTTACAAGTTATCATATTTTAAGATAATATTGTTAAAGTATGTAGAAAGGCAGGGGCAGCAGTGAACTGAAAATATCCAAAAGAAAATTTAGTGAGTGTGTTGCTATAATATTCTGCGAGGGAGAAAGGCCCACTGCACCACTGGCTCACTCCAGAAGCTATCCCCTGAGTGAGAAAGTATTGTATTGTTTGAAGTCACATGATTTAGGCCATGAAACTCCTCTAACATAAGGTTATGGCAACCTAGCCAGACACAGCTCAGTAAAGGCCGGAATTGCACCTGTTTTTCCTGATCTGGGGCAGGAACAAAATGGATCATGTTAAATGATCTGGGCATTTTCATTGTGATGTGAACTAGGGACTAGAGAAGAGAATCAGACCCAAAACATATTTTAGAGGGGAAATGAGCAAGATTTGGTAAGAATTAATTTTTGAATAGGTAAGGGGGAGAGAGAAGAGTGTAGAGGGCTCCCATTTATTATAGGTAAATTGATAAGCAACGGTGCCACCATCTGAGACAGAACACACAGAAGGATGGTCATATTTGAAGAGGAAGGTAGAATCTACTCTGATATATTGAATTTAGCATGGCAGTGAGCTATCCAAGTAAAGATATGTTTTGGCATTTTGTTTCAAAAGCATATACAGTACAGACTAATGTTGCCAATAGGTTCTGCAACTTTAAGTAAAACAACATACAATAAAACCAATTTACCATAGGCTAGTTGATATAAACCAACATTTCTATAGCATCTCCTCAGAATCTGCACATATTAATATAAGCCTTTGACATATTAATATGATAAGGTTCTTTTCATGAATATAGTATAGCAATAAACTGCAAACTCACTTTATCATTATTTGATCCAAAAGTAAATCATAGTTGGCAGAACAAAACCTCTAATCTAAACCCTTGGATTATAAACCATTGCTTTTACACAAAGTACATTACACGGCACTACACTAGGCTCTGAAAGGATTCTAAGAAGAATCTGGCCCAGTTACCTTCCTTAAATGTAGATGCATTAAAAACCCATAAAAGCAATAGGAATAAGTGTTAAGATGACACAAAACAAAAAGGTTCAAAAGAGAAGAATGAATAAGATACCACTAGGTGTACACATGACCTTGGTAACAGAGAGATGATAGAGAGAGGTGGTGAAATAACCATGAGGGGTCTATAGCTCCTCCTACTCTGTATAACCAGTCTGCCCGTGAGTCTGTGTAATATGCAAGATCAATCTCACTTCCAATCCAGGCCCTTAGAACTCCTCAATCTCTCACGTAATTTTAATGAGGATGTTGAAAATGGGCTACCAGCAATATTAATGAATGTTTCTACTTTGGTACTGGTTAGGAATTTCAATTAGGATTAAATAACTGAACTTACTTCGAGAGAGCTTCTCAAGGGCCTTTCCCAGCTTCTTGCTCTCTTGAAGGATGTGGTTCAATTCATCAAAATCACGGCTTTCTGGTTTAGTTCGCCAGTTCCACTTAGGATGATCTACTGACCTTGACACTATGTTTAAAAAAAATGATTACTTCATAAGCATGCTGCATGGTAATAAAAATTTACTCTTCGTCATTATGCGAAAGACTGTATAAGATTATATTCAGAATAAAAATTTTTGTCTTGGAAATGGTTTTCTTGTGAGCAAGCAGTGGGAAGTTATAAAGCTGGGTTTTAAGAAATGTTTTAAATGAACAAGTAAAGGGAAGTGTGATGCCTTTTATATAAAAAAAGAAAAATCAGGTACTGATTTAAAACTAAAGATTTCTAGAATTTAAAGAAAACACAAAAATAAAGTAGATTTATGTTTTAGCAGCTTAAAAACTTCTTTATCATCAATCAGTAAATATTTCTAAGACATTCTTGCATTCTTCTAGTAAAACAGAGACGATGGTAATTACCTTCATTTCTCCTCAAATTCTGAATTCCCACTAAAATTATTAAAGGAATTTTTATTTTTATTTTTTGGACAAAGAATGAAGTAAGCAAGGAGAGAAGCCACTATTAATATGATGGCAAGAAATAACATCATAGTTTATTGGAAGATGCAAAATGAATTGATGAATAGTAAACAAATTTAGCAAGCTAGAGAATACCAAAACTTAGTTCCCCCAAAGTGATCATTTCAGATCATTTAAGCATTGAAGTATCAAACAGGACCAATGACAAAGTAATAAGAATATAATAACTTTCTTCTTCAGACCAGAATAATTCATTGAATATCACTAAAAATTTTACAACAATAGAAATACAGAAGAGATCTTAAAAGCTTTCAGAAACTAAAGTAGCAAGTCATATTGTCATCAGACTTCTCAACAGCAACACTTCTCCTCAGAAGACTGGGGAGAAAGTTTTTCAAAATTTCAACTAAAGATTACTTCCAACTTAGAATTTTCTACCCAATTAAAGGATCAAGCAAGATACTTGTAAAGACTCAAAATTTATCTTGCAAGCATCCCCCCCCCTTCCACCTCCAGAAAGCTCTTAGTGGAGATGGTCCACCAAAATACAAAGTGGAAAGACTTGGGACGCAGGCAATCAATGATCCTCCATAAGAAAAAGGAAAAAGAGATTCCCCAGGATGACAGTGAAGGACAATCCCAGGAGACAGCTGAAAAAGCGGCTAGAGACCCAGAAACCAAGACTGGAGCAAAAGGATAGATAGCTACAGGGGAAATGGATGTAACACTTTTCAAAATGAAATAAAATATAAAATAAGACCAAAATTAGGATCACTTGATGTATTTGATCATATTGAAAGTTTTTAATAGTTTAACATAGGATTTGGTGAAGTATTAGTGATGGATACATAGAAAACAAACAGAAAAAAGGTCAATTATGAACTAATAAATTCATAGTTGGCCATCTTATGGCTGTACTGTGAAAAATGCAAATTAATATATACTCTAATACCAAAGCAGAGTATACATTCAACCAACATTTGAAATATCTGCATGATGGTAGGGGGATGCTGAGATGGGGCCAAAGTATAAAGCACAAAGTCTTAGAAGGAGGTCAAAAGATGATGCCTCAAGTGTAAAAAGTAAAAGAGAACATTAAGTACCTTGTATGTTTAGATATTTAGACCTGTGTGGCAAAAGCAACATATACAAGAGTTAAAAGTGGTTCCACATTAGAAGAATAGAGGAAGAAGATCAACACTTGCCTTGTAGTTTCTACTATTATACTTTACTTTTTAAACCATACATTTTTGATGAAAATAAAATAAAATAAAATATATTATATATTTATATGGTAAGGCTATAGGAAAGACAGGCTGTTGAAATATCTTTTCTGCTACCTATTTGAAAAGTAATCTAGAAATATCAATTATAATAAAAGTATAATGACCTTCTGGCCCAGCAATCTTATGTTTGGTTAATTATAATAAATAAAAAATGCCTATACTAATAAATTACAAGGTTGTTTATCAGGAAGTGAAAGGTATTAATTTATTTATTCAGGAACCTGTGGTGGAAAAATTCTGAAAATCATTTAATGTCATTCAGGGGAATAAATAAATTAAGGTACATTCACACTATGACACAGTCTGCTCTTATTAAAAAGTTTATCTTAAATCCAAGCTTATTAGCATGGAGATACATCCACAAAGCATTTTAAAATAATAAAATTAAGTTACTTAATGTATTTTGTGTTAGTTTATACAAAGAAAATGATGTATTCTTTATACCTATGTTTCTCTCTATATATATATTTCTTATTACTATGACATCAGTCTCTTTAATATTTCTTACAATGCTGGTTTGGGGGAAATAACCATATTTTGGTATGGGAAGGTCTTTATTAAAAAAGAAAAGGATGTAAAAAAATCCAACCTATTTCAGAGGCTGTGAAAAGATACAAATCATTTGTGAGGGAGTAGAATTTGAGTGGACTGAAGAAAGACTGTATTTTTTAATTGTCAGAATAAGCAAATATTACTTCTGTAATTTAAATAAATCTAAAATATAAAAAATAGAATGCAAGTGCTTCCTCTGTGTTTCTTTGTTTAAGGGATTCTGGGAGAGATATCAGCTAACAGAGTGAGTGTGATAAATGGTTCTAGAAAAGACTTCCAAGCACACTGCTATTACCCCAGGGGATCTCTGGAAACAAGCCCAGGCATAGGGGAGAGGAACTCAGAAAAGGAAAAGATAAAACTATGTTTGTACCATATCCTTCAAAAGATTGGCACTTTTGTTAACCTTTATTGAACAATTTCTCTAATCTAGATCATTGCATTATCTAATTTTCCTGCAAATTAACATATGCTATCAAGAGTTCTCTCTCCTTTTAATTTACAAATAATAGAATAGTGTTTGTTTTTAAAATCAGTCCCAATTAATATTTCCGAATAACCACCAGACATGGCCAGCTCCCAAAGCATCCCAGCCTTTACAGACCTACCAGCTGACTGCACTGACATGGCCAGACCAGAAGAAGTACCCAATCATTCCACGGAATCCTGAGGAATTACAAACTGCTGTTTTTTTAAGCCATTGAGTTTTAGGGAGGATATATGAAGCAACAGAGGACTGATACAATGCTCAAGAACTTTCCTCAGCAACTTTCAAGAGGAACTAAAAATAACATTTTAAATATTTTGTGGCTTGTGATGAGGTGATAAATAGATGCAGATATATCCAATTTATCAAGGAAACCAAATCTCAGGCAATCAAGGCCACTGAATGATGATGGTCAAGTCAACTATCCTGGGGATTTCAAAAGATGTTTTGATAAATAATGGAAGGACACAGACTCCAGATGGGGGCATCTCTTAAAGGTTTCTGATGGGTTAAAAACCTTACTTAATTATAGTTAATCTTAAAACTGAAAACTACAATTTAAATACATTTTAGCAAATATTCTTGGAAGAAATGGAAAACAGCAGAACAGTATCAACAACATAAAACGACACATATGTGGTGATAGAACCTAGGAGAGGGCACGTCTATGACTTAACTGGGGCAAAGCTCTCCCCCAGTGCAGAAGTCCATCCACAGTCCCCTGCAGACAGCATCCTCCATTGGCCCATAAGAGCTCGCTACTTCATACAGCAGCCTTCTGTATACTGAGCAGGGCTAATTTTGAGCAATTCTTTATTATACTAATCAAATTCTGACTCACTGTGACCACCACCAAAAGTTTCTATGTATGGGTTAAAAATAAATGTACTGTTTCCTCCAAATGACTTTACCAATAAAACTGCTAATATTTGATAATAATATGCTTATGTCTAGGATGAAAAAGAATATAGTTTGTTTTTTTAATCTAGCCTGATGGAATTTGGTTTTAAATTGAGATGTTCAGTACCTTTACACTTACTGTAATTATTGACATGTTTTTACTTAAACCTAACATCTTGATATTTGGTTTCTATTTTTCCAATCTTTTTTTTCCGTTCTTTATCTGCCTTTGTTTAGGCAGATATATTTTTTTCTTTTCACATTCCATTTTAACTCATGTACTGACTATTTATGCCATTTTATGCTTTGCAGTGTTTCTTTACACATTACAATATGTACATTAAACCTATTCCAGTGTGAGTTCAATATATATTCTGTTACTTCAGGAACAATTTATATTTTATTGATTTTTTAAAGAGAGGAAGAGAGAGGAATAGAGAATTAGAAATATCAATGAGAGAGAATCATCGATCAGCTGCCTCTTGCACACCTCCTACTGGAGATGTGCCTGCAACCAAGGTACATGCCCTTGAACAGAATCGAACCTGGGACCTTTCAGTCCACTGGCCAGTGCTCTATCAACTGAGCCAAACCGGTTTGGGTGGGAACAATTTAACATACTGTATTTTTTCCAATTAATAATTTTGACCCTGTATTCTTATTGTCATATATGTAATCTCTCCATATATTATAAAAGCTCACTTTGTTATTAATTTGGCTTTAAAAAGCTGACAGTTGGGTGGAATCAGAAGTTGGGAGCAGGTCACCTGAACAGAAAGAGATAGCATCCATCAGATGCCAGGATACCAGCAACAGTCCGTGACTTGGCAGCATCCCATTAGGAGCACAGGCTCTTCAGAATGAGCAGCCTGTTAGCTTTCTTCCCCAAAGTGGATGGGATCTAGTACTGATCCTTTAAAACTAGTAAGCCTCTAAGGTTATAGATTTATCATTGCAATGTAGGGTGGGTGTGGTGGTGGTGGTGGTGGTGGGGGTAAGTAAGAAGAAAATGAGTGAGAGAGGAAAAGAGAGAGAGAGAACAAAACAGAAGTAAATATAGGGGCTTCAGGAATAAATAATAAGTAGGAATTCAGGGAAATAATAGGTGAAGGACTACATAAAATGTTGTTAAGTGTTTTGAATACAAACCGAATTTGCTCCCCCTGTAATAGATTTAATTTGCTTTTGTGTACTTTTAAAAATGTAGGGTGGATGTTGCTTTGAATTAATACAATGCTGCAACTGGCCATCAGAGGCAAGGGACCTATTGTAAGCAAAACACACTTTTAAAAGAGTAAGTACCAAAAGGTCTAAATCTGTTACACGTGGAGGGGTTGGGTGGAGGGGGGCAAAGCGGGGAGGAAATGGGGGGCATCTGCAATACTGTCAACAAAAAAATACATTTAAAAAAAGAATATGAACAAGTTACTGAACAGAAATAAAGCTCAATGTTAATGCTGAAATAAATACAAAATTCATTACAATTAATAGCCAGAATTATCAGCTAAAACACTTGGCTTTAATTCTTACCTTTTCTTCACTTTGTTAATAACACAGACTTACATATACATTAAGTAATTTTTGAATAACAAACTTCCTTACATGATTTGGATTCTGGTGACGGTGGAGAAATATTAGAGACAGCAAGGTCACTTTTTGACTTTTTGGGCTTCTTTGCATTTAATTGCCAAGGCTTATCATAGCTTCTCACATCCCTTCTTGCTCCTTTATGTTCTGTTCAAACAAACAAACAAACAAACAAACAAATATGTAAATGCCTGCCCACTAATGTGATTTCAAGACACATAAAAAACTAAATTCATGAAGTTATTAGTTATACTCAGCAAAATCTACAGGTCACCTTATATAAAAAAATAATGCAAATAGTCCATCTGGTGTGGCTCAATGGTTGAGTGTCAACTTGTGAATCAGGAAGGTCATGGTTCAATTGCTGGTCAGGACACATGCCCAGGTTGTGGGCTTGATCCCAAGTGGGAGCCATGCAGGAGGCAGACAATCAATGATTCTCTCTCATCATTGCTGTTTTTCTTTCTCTCTCCCCCTTCCTCTCTGAAATCAATAAAAATACAAAATAAAATAATCCAAATATCCAAAAGCATTTCTTAATTTCTCCTGTACATTTTAGTTATCAATTTCATATGAGTCAGTGTGTATAGTAATATGATAAAGGTTATTTTAAACTGTGAAATTATTTGAAAGGCTTTAAAAGGCATGGGTTACCATTACTTAAAATAACAGTCTTTAAATGCTGCCATGGAAGAAAGCATTGTATTCTGATGAAAATAAAACACGTAAATATTTACCGTATTTTTCGGACCATAAGACGCACTTTTCCCCCCCCAGAAGTGGGGGGGAAACGTCCCTGCGTCTTATGGTCCAAATATAGCCTACACATATACTTTTAAAAAAAAGTTTTTTTACTTGCCTGGCTCTGTGTGGTCTCTGTGTGCTTGCCCGGCTCTAAAATGGTTCTAAATGCTGCTGTTTACTTTACAGGGTTGATTACATGTGTTTATGACTGTGATGTTGGGTTTTAATGCACATAAAATATTTTAGGACACTATTTGTTTCAGAATCTTTTTTTCTTCATTTCCCTTCTCTAAAAACTGGTGCGTCTTATGGTCCGGAGCGTCTTATGGTCCGAAAAATACGGTAAGTAAATTTTACTAATGTTAGTTTATCCATTATTTACTTTGACACAGAAAACTGACATTCACCTAAGTTTCTTCCACAGCATCACTTATTTCCCCCTTGTTTCTTCAAGAAAGATTAATTCAACCAACTTTGCTAAAGTTATAGTTCCCCTTCATACCAATTACCAATTGGTCAGTTCATACCAATTATTAAGTTAAATGATCTTTTCAAAAGTTCATCCCTCTTGACTTCTTCACCAAGAATTTCATCTTTTTAGACAGATTTATTTTTGCAGAATGTTTTCTTCTGTTTTTAGAGCATTAAGAACTTCTCATTCCATTAACATGACTACCTTCTCTGTCTCATTCATTGCTTCCTCATCTTCCTCTTTCATCCAGATGGCATTCTTTAGAGTTTCCCTCTGTCTTCTTGTTTACATTTACAAGTTTTCACCCCAGCTTTATGAACAAGCCATACATCTTTCTCTGGCCACCCACTTATAAGCACTAAATAAACAGCATGTGGATTTCTCAAATGTTCATGTTAAGTTTGTACTTAACTAGGTGTTACTCAATTTTTCCACCTCCAACATCTCATTAAACACCAAAAGAGGTATAAATATTCTAAAACACTAGGAATTGAAATATTGGCCTGTGGACTGCCAGAACCCAGGTGGTATGTCTATTGGTAAGATTAAGGCAAAAGCCGAGACTGGTTTGGCTCAATGGATAGAGCGTCAGCTTGGGGACTGAAGGGTCCCGGGTTCGATTCCGGTCAGGGGCATGTACCTTGGTTGCGGGCATATCCCCAGTAGGGGGTGTGCAAGAGGCAGCTGATCGATGACTCTCTCATTGATGTTTCTAACTCTCTATCTCTCTCCCTTCCTCTCTGTACAAATCAATAAAATATATTTTAAAAAAAAGATTAAGGCAAAAGATAGGCAAATCAGAAAGATGTTGGCTGGTTTCAAGACATGCACAATACTTGCCCCTGTCTCAGAGTTATCTCCTTATGCTGTTTCATAATCTCAGAATTTTTCTTTCTATTTACATCCAAGCACCATAATTTATTCTAATGCAATATGGGTAAAGGAATAAAGGATCCTGTTTGTAAAATATAGCAGCTCATGAAACAAAGAAAAGCTAAAAAGAACCAGAGAGAAACAATATATTGGATTTTGTGGCCTTTTCAATTCTAAATTTCTAGCAAGGAAAAACAAATCCACATTAATTTAAATAATCCAGTAATAATATTGTTCTTATTTAGTTGTTTAAAAAGAGATGAAGCATATAGTCACTAGTCAGTTTAGCTGAGACCCAAAAATTATACTGGTACTGGAAATTTTAGTAGTGGCTTTGGTTGCTTTCACCTGTTTCTCTAAAATTCTTTAGAATAATTAAAAAATTCTAAGCTATACAGTGAGAGGACAAATTAGAGTCCACCTATTGACAAACATGGAACATTCCTAACTTAATTTGAATTAAAATATGATTTTAAGAAAAACATTTAATATGCAAAACAAGAATACAACATTCAAGATACAGAGGAAACTGATGGGTTTACAAGAGATTTATTATTGAAAACGTTCAAATTTTACATTGTGGCTAACTTGCCAATAAAAATAAAATAAAATAAAATAAGATTCTATGAACCAAAAAGAAATGAGAGAGGAGGTAAACTAACTAACCTATGATAAAAAATTAAAAAAATTAAAAAAAACCTCTGAAGACAGAGGTTTAAAGAAAAAAAGAAGATAAGGAAATACTACAGTAGTAGGAAGCTAAAATGCAATACCAACATTTAAATTTTTGTTCAAAGCCAGAGAGAGAAAACTGACACTGCAGAAAATTGAATCAGTGACACAGAACACATTGACAAATAAATTTCCCTAGAAGTTAGTCTATGAAGAAAGGCAAATATGTATAATGAAATGAGAGGAATAGAGAACAATATTTACACATACTTTATTTTCCTTAAGAAGAAATGTAAACAAATATAATAGAAGCAGTAACTAAGTACAAAAAAGAAAAAATATATTCTAGGCTTAAAAGCGGGATTTGTTAATTGCAAGGATTTAGTGAGCATAGGAAAAGTTAGAGAAAAGAGATAAACATTTAGATGTATTCCCAGTAAACTTTGGAACATCAGAAATGAAAAGAAAGCAAATCCCATTCGGGTTTAAAAAGAATAATTAAAACATCTAAAAAGGAATAAAATAAGGCTGCTTTCAGGTTTGTCCTTGACAATATCAAATAACAAACTTCTGGAAAAGATGTTGTGCCCTAAATTGCTAGATCCACTTAAAGGCAATAAGAGGACATCTTGAGATATTTTCAAAAAGTATAATTCCCATATACTTTAAATACTGAGACATTTTCTAGCTAATTGGAACATACACCAAAAGAAAGAATTAAAAATTGCAGACAAGGTTTAAACTAGCATGATGGACTGTCCACCTGAACTAAAATTTCTCCAGCTATATTCCTATCCAAGGATTATTCTGTGCTTTCTCCCTCCCTTTGGTCATACTCTGCCTCCAAAATTTTTCCTCTTCATTTTCTGGAGCATACATTTCATGGTAAACAAACATTCCTCTGCTCTTAATCCCCGCCCCCTCTCATGTCTTAAAGAGACACCTCATTCCTCCTGCTCTGCAGCTTCCTGGAGTGGTGAGTGTTCTCTTCTCCATTGGCTGGGTTGTCCAGGCCCAGCAATGTTGAGCTGAAAGTCCCTCCTGAATTGTGAGTAATGCTGGCTGTCTACACTATTCAACATGCTTTATTATCACCATCACACTGGCCCTGATATCTCTTGCAACCCTCCTCATGATATTGGCACAGTCTCCCAGACCTTTCAACAACTTGGATGAAACCCTGGTGACCTCTTAATCCTCAGAAAAACCACCCATTAAACCTCAGACTTCCTTGTCCTCAACTTTTAAAGCTTCACTTCCCTGATGCTTATGATACTCCCAAACTAAGGCCATCAATAGGACTTTCTCATCATCTGGAATCATCCCACCTCGTCTCAAGACAGCACAGTCTGTTGTCCTTCTGTAACTCTCCCATTTTCACTGAACCTTCACTTACACTGGCCTCCTATGGATTTTCAGCTGTCCTCAGTCACCTCACTTCTCAATAAACAGACAACATTTTAGGTATCAGGTATTACCTCATCCTGGCCTTCTCCCCGTCCATCTCCTACTCAATCTGTTAATTTAACCACAACTTCTTCCATTCCTTCCCTCCCACAGTTTTCATGATTTTATGTATGATATGAATGCCTCACCTGTGCCTCCTGCCTTGACCCATCCCGAAAGTTTTAGACTCATTCTTGCCTGCTGTAATTATCTACTAAGTTGCCCCACTAGAAGATCAAACCTATCGATAAGAACTGGACTTACTATCATTCATAAATTTATTCCTGTGTTACTGTCTTACTTTATTAAACAAGCATTTGTACCATTAACTCAAGCTAATAAACTGGGAGGTATAGTGATCTCCACCCCTCCTTCACCCTGTCTAAGCAGTGCGTCATAAAGCACTTGGGCCAGTCAGAATTCTAAGATGACCCCCGTGATCTCTGTCCCCTGATGTTTCTTATAGAGTCCCCTCTCCTTAAGTGTAGACAGGATCTTTACTTACTTCTAACCAACAGAATATGGCAAAGATGATGAGATGCCAATGCTATGATATGTTATGTTATATAGGATTCCATCTCATTAAATTTGAATGAGAGAAATCCCCTTGCAAGTTTGAAAGAAGGAAGCTGCCATAATGTGAGAGAGGCATGTGGCAAAGAGCTGCAGGTTGCATGTAGGAGTTGAGAGCAACCTGGACTGAAATCCAACAAGGAAACAGGGACCCCGGTCATAATTAATTCTGCCAATAACATGAATGAGTTTGGAAGCAGGTTCTTTCTTATGCCAGATGAGAATGTAGCCCAGCCAATATCTTGATTTCTAGTCTTGTGAGATTAAACAAAGGATCCAGTTAAACCAGAAACAACTTCTGGCCCATGGAAACTGTGAGATATTAAACATAAGCTGATTAAATCTTCACTTTCCTACATCACTGCCTCTTTAAATACTATAATTTATAAATATAGGCTTGTACAAGCTTCACTGGGTTCACCGATGCTCATCTCTTCTGTGTAACATAATGAGTGTCTTCTCTGTACCTGCACACCGGAGTCCAAGCCTATAGACCCAGCTCCTCAGAGCCTAAACCCAAGAAAGTAAGGCCAGGAAGAAACAGAAATTTGCTCTTTTGTATGCCAATAGCTCATATCCTAGTTTCCTATATGATGCAGATCACTTCCCTGTGGATAACTGACACTAGAGAAGTCTACATTCCAAAAGGAATCTCCTAAACCCTATGTACTTTAGTGTGTTTTTGAGATATGGTCTCAAGAAGGTACTAATATGAGAATACAACCCAAGAGACCAAAATTCTTGCAAGGCAGCACGAGAGCATCAAGAGGACAAGAAGAGTGAGGGGGTTGTGGCAGGAAAGCATATGGAGATCCTGCAGTCAGATTTCCCCTAGGAATCCATCATACAAGGAACTGGCTACTGAAGCAGCAGCCATGGGGATATTTGCTTTTGAAAGTAAATGCCAACCCAACAGACCAGTGTGGAGAAGTAAAAAAGGTTATCTTATAAGTAGCTATGGAAGTTAACTCTAGCCAATTATCTCACCAGGCTCACTGGGAAGATGGGCTATTGCCTCAGATAAATCTGGTTCCCAATTTCCAGAGAAAAGGCATCTTTCTAAGTCTGCATGTCCTACACAGATAAAATCTGGGCTGGGGAAATCAAGAATTATCAACAGTTTGAGCAACAAGAAAAGTGACTTTGGAGAAATCTATTGTTTACCTTTCTACAAATGAGCTACAGACATTTAATTCAAATTCTTCATAAAAAGAAATAAAGAACAAAAGCTTACAAAAATTAGCTTGAATTCACATAGAATGAAATCTTTTTATGAAAATCTGACTCTTATTTTCATAAGTTTAATGCGCAAATTTTCATACTTTGAAGCATAATACTGACACTATGTTCAAATTCAGTGACATTTTATGACAAATTTTAGCATATGGGTGAAGTTACAGATTTATTCATGAAACCCTAGGTAACCATCTAGATTTCTCTGAGTATAATCAGAAAGACTTTTCGTAAAGTTTTACACTACATGTATCAGAACTAACTAGGAAATACATTGCTTTGTTTACCTGATGCTTCACTTTCTGCCCAGAGAGCTGCAGATCCGGATAAAGTTCGCTGAAGCTGCCCTCGGTTTCCTTGCTTGGACTGAAGATGGTCAATGAGGAATGGGATGGGCTGGTCAGGTGTCTCAGTTATTAATTTGGTCATTAATTCCTGAAGGCAGAATAGACAATACATTTACATCTAACAATTATAACGAACACTTACTCAGCAGTTACTATGGCCAGATGCTTGTTCTAGCTGCTTTATATACAGCAACTAATTTAATCCTTTTAAAAGCAATCTTTTCAGGCGGGTACACGTTACTGTCCTCATTTTGAGGAAACTGTCATGCAGAAAAGTAAGTTGTCCATGTTACACAGCTGACACATGGCAAAGCCAATAATATATTATTCTACTTGGTAAAGACATATTAGAAATTTAATCTAACTCTTTTTAAAACCATAGCCTAAGAATTTAAACTTCAGATTAGCATGTGGAGAGATGGCGTGATAAACCCAGCTTTCCATAAACCTCACTATATACTTCATATACCAATGATATTTTTTCTTCCTAACTGTATATCAATATCACAAAATGAAAAACACTTATTTGGAATAAAATAAATGAGTAACAAGTCACAGAATCACAGAAAACAAGAAGTGTCTGAAACTGGCCTACAGACACTGCAGAATTTTCTTTCTCCAAAAGTCTTGATGGGTATTCGCTCTTTCTTCTTCTTCTTCTTCTTCTTCTTTTTTTTTTTTTTTTTTTTTTTTTTTTAACCAGTTAAGTAACGGAGATGTCTCCATCGGTCAGACAGGCTGTTCCATTGTTGGACTGCTAATGAAGCCTTACACTGGGCAGAAATCTGACTAAGGATAATAGTTACATGTTGTTTTCTTTCCTGTCAGGAACAGCGAAGAGCGAGCTCCAACGTGTGGTCAGTTATACTCCCCAGCCTGCTCTCCTACGAACAGCTGCCAACCCACACGGACACACTGAGCGATGGTTTGTCACTCACATGCACCATTTTACATTCACGTCAGTCACATTTCCTATTGGTTTCAGCCCATCATCTCAGTCTGTTGAGGATCAATTTAAGTTCAGAATTTGTGAGAGGCAGTGGTTCTTGTGAGTAGACCCAACAATGAGGTGTCAGAGTGCGAACAGAAGGGGCACTAGAAATTTCCCACCTTGTTGTGTGTGGTTTTTTTGTTGTTGTTTGTCCATAGTCTATTTCCTCTGCCTTGCATGCCCTTCGCTCAGATGTTGAGATGGCTGGCTTGTACGCATGCATCTCTAATGAGAGCTTCTTAGACACCGATCTTCATAAATCATAAATATTTACCACTTCCTTATTTTATTTTCCTCGCATCATTCATTTCTCCTGAATCATCTCATTGAATAGTTGTTCACCTGTTGGTGCTTGTCTCTTCTCCTCCCTCCCAGAGCACTAAGAGGAAGGATTGCCTGGTCTGATCTATACTCTCTCCCTAGGGCAAGGAACTCTACTGCTCATAGGTGGTGTTGAATGAATGAATGAATGACTGCTAAGTTTACTGATCCCAGCTAAATAGTAGTTTAATTAAAGTGCCTAACTGCCCTGGTAAACAGTATTTCAAGGATTCATAGATTTCTTAGCCCAGAAAAATACAGTATTCTGACTTCATATATAAGAAACTGCTGTCATGATACCTCAGGGATATTAACTGACATTTCTAACAGTGTAGGGACACACAGATTTATCGGAATAGAGGCAAAGTATTTTGTAGATGACAAGCTTCCAATGTGATCTCACAGACATGGATAAAGCAATTCAAGGAATCTCAAAAATGTGCAGACTAAATGGAGGAGTAAAAGGAGCAAAGGAATCCCACCTTAATTATACCATGAAGCAACCTATCACACAAATGTAATACTTTTAATATTCTGAAAACAGATAAGCAAGCAAACAGCTGACACAGGTCTTCTTTATTTACATTATTTAAAATAGTGATCATTGAGTTATTGATATAATCATTGCTCTATTGTGGTAAAATAATGCAGGGCTCAATTAAACCCCAGTTATGGATCAGTGGAATGCAATTTAAAGCATTTTGGATCTTGTTTTTGTAGAAGAGATGGATTATGTTCTATTTAAATTCATTGTACATAACAAAAGCTATGAAAAAATGGAGAAAAAGATAAATAGTAGGACTGACTAGATTATTCTTGTCACATAAGGCCTGAGCATTCATATAAAGCAACATTAGATTAATAAGAACTTTAAAACCACAGCAATTTCTATCTAGAAACTTCTTAAGATCTGATGCATTTTTTTTAACCTTTCAAATTGGATGGAAAGTTTCTGTGGGTATGTTTTTTCTTTTAAAATAAATTGAAGGGGCCCTGGCTGGTTTGGCTAGGTGGATAGAGTGTTGGCCTGCACTGAAGGGTCCCAGGTTCGATTCCAGTCAAGGGCATGTACCTTGGTTGCAGGCACATCCCCAGTGGGGAGTGTGCAGGAGGCAGTTCATCAATGTTTCTCTCATCGATGTTTCTATCTCTCTATCCCTTTCTCTTCCTCTCTGTAAAAAATAAAATAAAATGAAATCAGTAAAATATATTTTTAAAAAATAAAAAAATAAACTGAAGGGTTCTTATACTGTCTTTAGCAGATAGTTCATAGAGTCATAATAAACCAAATAATCACTGTTAAATATTTTATCATCAGTCTAGTAACTAATTTTGAATATCCTTATATCCCATTTACAAATATATGAGATTAAAGAAAGGATACATTTGGTTATAAGCAAAATGAAATAGTTATTGTTTACAATACCGTATGTTGGGCATCATGGTTGGGCCAGAATCTAATTTATGAATGCTGTTCACCCCTGAACAACATGAGTTTGAACTGCTTAGGTCAAGTTATGTACAGAACGTCTTCAAAACAGCGGTAAGTTTTATGGAGTCAGAAGTTATATGGGGATTTTTGACTGGAAGGGGTGCCTCTAGCCCCCACATTGCTCAAGGGTCAACTGTATTGTATTTATAAGATGAATTATTCTGCCTCTCACCCAATCCAGAAACCACTTTCCTGAATGTGAATATTTAACTCCTGAGGTTTGCAAAGTTGCTCCTCACAATAAAAGGATCGGTTTTGCCCCCACAAGGATTCATACAGAGACAGAACAGGGGGCTGACAGACTGAGGTGAGGCGTCGTGCAGCGGGAATGTCAGGTTGGAGACAGAGACAGGACTGCAGAAAGTTCCACAGCCGTATCGTTCTCCATAAGTAAAAAGTATCCTAGAACAGCAAGCCAGGGTCCAGGATGGAGGCTGATCGCCGTGAGGGAAACGTCCTGTGCTTACAGTGTAGGGGAGAGGGCTCTTCCACAATTATTACCAGGCGTGAAACAGTGGGGATAGGACTGTCTGGGTGCCAGAGCCTGGCCAACGTGGACACTTTGCACCTGGCCATCTGTCCACTGTGTTGGCAGCGCCGCACACAGACACACATCCAGATCTAGATTTAAGCTCAGGTGCATTATTACTTCCCCCAGAAAGAGGAGACATTATAGCACATCTTAACATATGTCGAAAGGAAGGGATGGGGGAAAAAATATATGAGTTAGTGTGGCAATGTGTTTTCCTCTCAGGCACATCAGCTGCACAGGGGCAGGCGTGAAAGAGGTAAGAATCTGTGTTTAGGCAGGGCTGGGGTTTAGCTAATGTGTGCAAATGGTCTGAGAGAGGGACTTGTGAGCACATCAAAGGAGCAATTACAGTAACTATCTACAGAATTACAACAACTGGCCCCAGGATTTAGGATGGACAGGAAGCGGAGTGAGGGCATCAATGAGATAAGGGAAAATGAAGATATGGTAGGATCCATGGACTGGATGTCCAGGTGGGGGCAAAGAAAAGCGGGAATTGGGATACCAGAGACAGTAAGCTAGAAGGATAGAGGAGACGGTCCAAGAGAAGGATGTCTGAAGTGAGACTAATGAAGAGCCTACAGTTTGTTACCAATAAGAGCAATTGGAATGGCTGAAACAGGGTATTAGGTAAAAATCACCGGCTGAGAGGAGTTCACTAAAGACACCAGGATGACAAAAAGGCCATCAACGTGTATATGGAAATTGCCAACATGGAATACAGGTGTAGTGTTAGAGAGTGTGGCAAAAATTAGGAGTTAAAACTATGGAGGAGTCTAGAAGAACCACCCAGCAGTCTGTGGATCACAATAATAATGAAGGGCAGTGGGCAATATAATCTGAAGACATGGAGTTAAAAAGGTATTTTAAAAATAGTTCTTAAAACTACCAAGTCTAAAACATTTAAGTACTATTGTTTTCTTTTTATTAGGAATATTTTCCCTGCTAGAAAAAACTATACTGTTACCATTAAAATCCCAAATTATAAAATAGTACATGAACATTAATGTTTATATATTCATTTTTCAAAGAAAATTTATACCTAATATGCAGAACACCAAGTCAATTTACAAAAAAAGTTAACAGATAAGGCATTTAATACTAAACTTACATAAACTAAAATCATGGCATTAAGTATAGACAGAAATTCTTAGATAAGCTAAATTTAACAGCATGCTGACATCATGCACTCCCTGTGGTTTATGATAAGTAAAAGAGCATATTAATGTCCTCAGTAATTGCTGGAAATTCATTCTAATTTATAGACACCTAACAGCCCCATTCTCAGAAGTTATAATCTGAACTTTGTTTAAATATGCTTTATATAAGGTTTTGTAGAGTTATGTGTGTTTTGATAAAAACATACATCATATGCTTAAAATTAAAATTCCTTGATGAACAATAAACAGAAATCTGTTTCAACAAACCCTCACTGGGTCTGGCTGAGTGCAGTGCAGCTGGTAAACTAAGAGGTGATTTTGAAAGATTCACAATCATTCAGTAAAATCCATTTTCTGCTGAAGCAATGAAAATTGCCAGCTGTTTTCAAGAATGTTTTACGTATGAAATATGCTGTGCATGCTTATATATTTTTATTTAAACTAAAACTTTTTTTTTCAACACAAAATTCAGACTACAGATACTATTTGGAAGCCATGTGATTCTGTAACATTTGTGCAACTAGTTAAATATATGTTGGTTTCTAGTATAGTAAATGGTCTTATACACTTACATATTGACTAGCCCTTCTCT